ACTCTGAGTGCGGGAGGACCTTACCTAACGCACGCGCACAGCTGCACAGCCGGCGCCGCACTCACTGCGACACCATCCCTTCAGTCCTGGTCGGAGTAGGAGCTGCACTCACTGTATTCGTCCTGCTGGACTTCGGGCACGATCCGGAGAGCTCCCGGCTCTCGGGCACGCCGCCCTCGCACCTGTTGTCCACCACGTCCTTGGCCTCTGTCAGGCGCAAGGCGGCCGTGGCTCCCTCGTTCACGATTGGCGCCGCTCGCACGGCCCCTGCGGTCGCCAGCTTCTTCACGCCCATCGTGACGCATTGTTGCTCCGCGGCCTGGCCCCACCCGCCTGGGAGCCCCAGCCGCCCGGCGGGGGCGTCGCCTCCTTCCTGGTCGAAGTGCGAGGCTTGCGCGATTCGGCCATAACTGGCTGCGGCAGCTTGCCCTCGAACGGCGGGGCCGGTCCGCCCATCTTTGATGGGCCGATTTTCCACCACCACCACCACTACCATAGGTAGAAGAGGGAGGAGGAGGAGGAGGAGGAGGAGGAGGAGGAGGAGGAGGAGGAGGAGGAGGAGGAGGAGGAGGAGGAGGAGGAAGGGGAGTAGAGCGAGGAGCAGGAGGGGGAGCAGAATGAGGAGTAGGAGGAGGAGCAGAAGGAGGAGGAGGAGGAGGAGGAGGAGGAGGAGGAGGAGGAAGAAGAGGAGGAGGAGGAGGAGGAGGAGGCGGACCTCCCCAGCCTCCCTTCTCCCCCGTCCGACCGTCAGCCGTCCTATGGTAGTGGTGGTGGAAAACTGGCTCATCAATCTTCCCGCTCTTCTGCTCGAACTCGTTGGGCTTCGTGTTCTTCTCGGCCTCCTGGCGCGGGGCGCACTGGAACCCTGCGCGGCAGGCCCCTTGCTGGTGTCGCCCTTCGGCGCCTCGGAGAGCAGCTCGATGTCCTCGGCCATCCGTGCGCACGCGTGCTGAGGCGCGCGGCCCCCGCGCCTTCTCGAAGGGCCCTGTCGCCACTGTTCTGGCATGCACTGCCCACTGCACTTCTGGCCGTCGGCGTGTAAAAAACAAAAAACTTCTGGCCGTCGGCGCCCGCACCCGCGGCCAGACGGGAGAGGGGGCCGGGTCGAGGGTCGAGGGTCGGGCCTCGCCGATCGATCGAGGAGGTCGTCGGGCGTTGCCGATCTCGGGCGTTGCCGAAGGGGCGGCGAGGGGGTCGTTGGGAGGGCCGACGACAGGTGCGCCCTTTGTGCCCCGAGGGGGCCCTGAAAAGGCCCCCCCTCCCCTGGGGCCCAAAACGGGCGCGAAGGGCGCACGTTTCCCCCCTTACCCAGATCATCCGTTCTCATGGTTTTTCCAGCTTTTCAATGGTTTCGAAACCGATATGCATCTTGCATTTCCCGGCTGCGATTTGAAGCTCGGAATCCCACACTACGCTCCATCTTTCAGTCCTCCATTTCCGACAATAATTCGCTCGAAATTGCAGAAGGCGTCGGGCTCAAAATTGCAGAATTCGTCGCCCCCCCCCCCCCCCCACGGTCGAGTTTCTGATCGAGAGACCTCCTCCCGAAACGCTAAGCCGGCGTTTCTTGACCGACTTGCCGGCACAGTTTTTGAGCACGTTCGTCCCAGATCGCCAACGCGAGAACTTGGCCCAAGCTCGTCCGCAGGAATTTCTGGGAAGCTGGCCCGGGGGTGTCTTAACTTCTATCCAGGAGGGAAAAAACACACAGTCGTCGATCCCCAGGAAGAGATGGGAACACATGCGGAGAGGGGGAGGAAGACGAGCATCCAGAAGATGTGGGACAATATGGGGGGCCCTGGGATTTGTGTCTACTGTGTGCCCCTGGGCCCCTTCCCCATGTGCTTGTTGAGCGTAGTCTTGGTTGGCTGTGCTTCGCCGACTCCCCATACGAAGCACAGCGCCCGAAGGTCGGGGCCACGGCATCGGGGCCTCGAGGGCCGAGGGCCGGGGCTCGCCCCTCGAGGGCCCAAGCTGGCTCCAGATGACCCCAAGACCGCTCCAAAACGGCTCGAGATGGCCACGGAGCCTCCCAGGCCTCCCTCGCTGCTTGACTGTGCGTGTCTCTTCCTCTCTCCCCCGGTCAATGGGTATCGTTTCTGGATGGGCTGGTGGGGCAGCTGCTTCCGGGCACTGGCGTCGCACTGGCATCGCTCAGAGCCTCGAGTCATCAGGGCTGGGGGCTGTCAGGGGTAGCTGCAGAGTCGCGCCGCTAACCGAAGAAGGAGAAACGGCATAAACATAATTTTTTGTGGCGCTCCGTGCGGATTTCTTGGATCCGCCCTGGGCCCCCTCCTGCGGCGCCTCCGGCGCCGCCCCTGGCGCGCTCCGCGCGCCAGGGGGGGGGGGGTCCAGCGCAGATCCGAGAAATCCGCGCGGGGCGCCAAAAGTTACTTTTTATGCCATGTGTGCGTCTTCTAGAGTCATCATGGGCTGGGGGCGGTCTGCGATAGCTGCAGACCCGCGCCTCGAAAGCCCAAGCCAGAGGTGCCCTGGACCGCAGTTCTCCCGGATGACTCGGGCGTCCAAGCCTCCCTATTCATCAGGGCTGGGGGCGGTCAGGGGAAGCTACAGAGTCGCGCCCCTGAGGCCCAAGCCAGAGGCACCCTGGACCGGAGTTATCCCGGATAACTCGTGCGTCCAAGCCTCGCGAATCATCAGGGCTGGCAGCAGCCAGGGGCAGCTACAGAGTCGCGCCTCGGGGGCCCAAACGGGAGTTACCCCGGACAGCAGTTACCCCAGATATTTCGGGCGTCGCGAGCGATGGCGATGGCGAGGCGCTGGGGGCGCCGCCTCATGCGCCCGGGGGTGTCTGGAGTCCTGCGGGGGTGGAGATCAGAGGAGGAGGGGGGCGGAGGAGGAGGAGGAGGAGGAGAAGGAGGAGGAGGAGGAGGTACCCATAATGCTAGCCTTCCCTCGTTTTCTCCTTCTGGGGCACTCCTGGGAGGCCCTTGTCGCCACCGCTGGATTCGCCTCGGAATCCTGGTCAGAACGCGCCCCAGGAGAGGTCCACGGAGTAGCAGTATCGGTGCCTTTAGGTCTCCCCCAGGGATCTGGGCAGAAGGGCCCCCGGCAGGGGGTCGGATGTAGCAAGGACCCTACGCAAGGGGGAGCTGGTGAGTGACTGGGCCCCGAGGCCCAGAAAACGGACAGTGATCACTCAATCAGGTCTGCCGTAGCCGGTGTTGATGGGCAAATTTTCCACCACCACTACTACATGTAGGACGGGGGAGAAGGGAGGATGAGGAGGTCCTCCTCCTCCACCTCTCCCTCCTCCTCCTCCTCCTCCTCCTCCTCCTCCTCCTCCTCCTCCTCCTCCTCCTCCGTCTTTCTCCTCCCTCTGCTACCTATGGTAGTGGTGGTGGTGGTGGTAGAAAATGGGCCCATCAGGTGTTCCTTCGTGTGGCGGCAGTTCCGAATTTGCGGAGTGGTGCTGGGGCGGCACCCGCTAGCACACATCATCAAGCCACGTCCCACTAACCCCAACCTTACCAACGCACGAAGGGGTTCCAGGGGCTGTCGGCCACGCGCGGAAGTGGGTAGGGGGAGTGGGGGGGGAGGTTTCTTAGAAACAGGCTGCTTCTAAGAAGCCTTCCCCCCTCTCCCTATACTCCCTTGTGCGCGCCGCCAAGACTGGGCTGGAGCGGATTCTGGTTGGAGTCGCGGTTCTGGCCGGCGCGCGCTCCAGGAGGGATCCAGGTTTGATTGAGGATTTCCCCCTCGGATGTTCAAGGATCGAGGTTCGAGGATCGGGGATCGAGGATCAAGGTTCGACGGCTAAAAGGTTTCCGGGCTCGTTTGGCGCCTGGGGTGGCCGTGTCGGGCGCCGGGGCCGTCGGATATCGGTTCGGGGGGAAAGGCTCGGCCAGGGTGAGCCCTGGGTGGTGTCCGTCGACAGATCAGGAGCGGATCTCGAAGGAGAGGGTTGGAGGCACGGAGTTAGAAGCGGTGAACGCTGGCATTGCATTAGCGAGGCAATCGACCAGCTCTGGTACCCATGTGCCAGTGCGCCGTAGCATGCGTTCTTCATGTCTGCGGGCTCGAGAAGGCCGTATCCAGTATGTTTTTCCGGGCTCAGACAGCCAGAGCATATCACAGAGGGCCATATCAGTTCACAGCTCGTGTGCCAAGCGTAGAGGAGGCAGGCACATGTGGCACTCGTCTTCCCCACGGCCCAGGGCCGTACCATGTGGCCACTGGGCAGTCCTGCGCGTACACTCCGCCGATATGTGTATGGTCTTCTCGCCGTTTTGCAGCCGCTTGAGGCCTATGTAGTTTTACCTGCACGCATTTATGTTTCGCGTGTATGTGTGAGCCCCGTGTGTAATGTATTTGTGTACGTGCATCTGGTCCACCCTTGCTTTATGCCAGTTGCGAGGCCCTGAGCCTTTCAGTTGTCCATTATGTTGTTGCACTGGACGGGCGAATAGCAGTACTGTCGACAGAAATTGGCGAAGATGAGTAAGAAGGGGCGAAGATGAGTAAGAAGGTCTTCAGTGTTCTTCCCATCGGTATCAGAGCTGGTGTTTCGAGTAATCGGTTTCATGATCCCCTATGTGTTTGCACAGGCTTCCTGTACGTCCTGGCAAAATCTCCCTCAGCCCTAAGTTATTGTGGCTCGACTTACTGATCATCGGTCCGCTTTTAGGGCAGCGTGGTTGTAGCCATGCTGGCTCGAGGCTTCCGCATTCGCCAGCTTTGCAAGCTCCAATCAGTTGCTTGAGAATATCTACATTTGGGCAATGGCCTTTGCATGCGCCGTCAAGGCGTTCATCCTTGTTTCGTTCGCCATTGATCCGTTGTTAGCGAAACGCGTGCAGGACGGGCTTTGGGATTCGGGGCCCAAATTGGACGCTTCGCCGATTGAGGCATCGCGCCCGTCCGCAGTGCAGGTTCGGCTTCTCTCCGAGGAGGAGTTGGATGCGCGAGGCAACCGCAAGCTCTACTCCCTTGCGGAGGCTGAGAGACTCGTGAACGCAAAAGTGGCAGCGGCGCAGGACATGATAGAGAAATCAGAGAAGCGGCACGTCAGCCGCAAAGAGGACAACGACAACGACCACGCCGAGCCCGATGCAGACGTGGAGGATGATCAGGACGAGATGTTCCTGAAGAATGCAACGAACGTCACGGAGGAGGAGTTCAAGTCGGAACAGCTGCAGGCTCTCAAGCGATCTCTGAAACCGAACTTCCAGGTGTACATGTGCATGCAGATTAACATCGACCTGTCAGCGATCACAATCCCAGGACTCCACCTGAACCTCGGCTTGCTCGGGGGTGTCTCTCTGGACTTCCACAACGGTTGCTGGAGCTTTTCCTTGGAAGCGGCCTTGGGCTTCGACTGGGGGTTCAAGATCTACGGCTTCGGCTTGGGCATAGGCCGGGCGACGAGAAATACGTACGCTCCGATCATGTCCAGGCCCTTGCCTTTGCCGCTTGACCCTTGTCTCGTGGCCGCTGACCAAAACAAATGTCCAGGCCCAGCCAGGGCCCAGGATGGGTCTGGTCAGGATCGGTGCGTGTGTGTACTTCTCGCCATTTTCTCAGGAGCTTCGATGACGGGTTCTTTTGACCTCTCAGAAGTGCCCGCGCAGCGGGTGCTTGGGGACCCGGAAGCGTTACACAAGGATGCTTCTGTGTACGCGCCCGAGGGCGCAGATCTTCGCCGATGCCATACGCGCAATCCGTGGATGGTCGTACAGGCTTGGATAGAGCAGAAGTGGCGCAACATCTACAGGAGCAAGAAGGTGCAGACGCAGATGGCAGAGACACTCAAGAACGAGAGCTGGACCAAGAGCGAGAAAGACTACATGAACAGCTACGGCTATCTCCTCAACGGAAGCTTCGAAGCACTGGGCGTCGCCAGCCCTTACGTCATGCAGTCGGATCTTTCGTTCGAAGCATCGCAAGTGCAAAACCAAGCGATGGAATTATCATGGTTCAGTTTGCTGCCTGCGACTTCGAATGCCACAAATCTCACCGACAACGTGACCGAAGAGGAGATCGATGGCGACCCGGATAACGCCTTACCTGGTAGCACTTTAATCGAACTTCCTTGGGACGTTTCCCCTGCCGCTTTCACGAAGTTCACGGCAGCGGTATCGAACGCCAGCGTTGCTCCCCGTCTCTCCGCCCCTGCTGTGGCGATGACGAAGGCTCTCCGCGGGCTCATTGCCGAGCTGCCAGCGTATGCCGGCCAAGTGCTGGAGCTCACGAGTGGCGAACATCTCCGTATCCGCGTCCTCGTGGTCCGGCCTCCAGAGCGCGATCCCGCGGATGCGCGGTCGCACGGGGACGTTCCGCGCGGGGCATCCGCCGGGCTCACAGGGCCGCGGGCACGGGTATGTTTTTGGCCCACGAGGAGCGCTTGACGGATTCCAGCGACGTGTACACGGGGACGGACGCCTCGAAGACGGTCATGGGCGTCGAGAGGACGGCGGGGCTGCGCCTCAAGGAGTCCACGGGCCGGTTCTGGGCTCGCTGGCCCAGCGAGGAGCGGCACAGCTCCCTGTGCGAGGCCGGAGGGGGCAGGAACAGCAGTGGGGACTGCTCCACGACGCCCATCGGTGTCTCCAAGCGGAAGGACGGCTCCGATCAGCGGGTGCTGAATTTTGCAAAAGCGATGCGCCATTCGAAGCACAGCGCGTCCCCAGCTTTCTGGAAGGAAATCCAGCCGCCTGCGGCAAGCCCTGCCGCCGTGCCAGCGCGACACTGCCAGGAGAGCCGTCATGCGTGGCACCTTTCGCCCCCGGGAGGAAGACGAGGAGAAGGAGTATGAGAACGAGGAGCATGAGGATGCGGAGGGAGAAAGGGGCGAGGAGGAGGAGGAGGAGGAGGGCCATCACATGTGGATGCGGAGGAAGGCCATCACATGTGACATTGGTCGTTTTCACGAGGAGGAGGAGGCGGAGGAGGAGGAGGAGGAGGAGGAATGTGCAGAACATCGTGACACAGCGAATGATGAGAAGCAGGATCAGGAGGAGGAAGAGGAGGAGGAGGAGGAGGAGGAGGAGGAGACGGAGGAGTGAAAGAGAAGAAGGAGAATGAAGACAAGGATGGCCGTCACCTGTGAGAATCGTGGTATCCATGTGGAGGAGGGGGTGGGAGGAGGAGGAGGATGAGGAGGAGGAGGAAAAGGAAAAGAAGGAGGGGGAAGAAGAAGAAGAAGAAGAAGAGGAGGAGGAGGACGAGGAGGAGGAGGGGGGATGAGGGGGAGGATGAGGAGGAGGAGGAGGAGGAGGAGGAGGAGGAGGAGGAGGAGGAAGAGGATGAGGAGGAGGAGGAGGAGGAGGAGGAGGAGGAGGAGAAGGAGGACCCTTGCGGGAGAAGGAGGACCCCTGCATCCTTTATCTCGACAGGGGCGTAACATGTGACACGCTGTTCCGTGTCGTGTTGGGGCGTTTCTCTTCGTTTTCGTCATCTTCCTCTCGTGGTTCTCTTTTCCCTCCTTCCCTTTTGGAGCCTCCTGGGGGCCTCTTAGGCATCGTGGAAGCGTTTTGGGGGCCTCTCATGGGCCTCTTCGGGGAGTCTTTGAGTGTGGGGGGAGGGGGAGGCTCTCGGGTCCTCTTGGAAGCTTCTTGGGCCGTCTTGCGGCGCTCTTGGGCCGCTTGGCGCCTTAGTAGTCCGTTTTTGGGGGCCTCTTGGGGGCGTCTTGGAGGCTGGAGGGCTCTCAGGTCCTCTCGGAGGCTCCGTGGGCCGTCTTGGGACTCCCTGGGTCGTCTGGCGCCTTCGGAGTCTGTCTTGGGAGCCTCTGCGAGTCGTCTGAGGGCCCTTCTTTGGGCCCTTTGCGGCTGTCTTGGGGCGTCTATTGGGTCGTCTTGAGACTTCCCTGGGTCGTCTTGAGGTCGTCTTGGAGGCGTCTTGGGCCATCCTGGCGTCCTTTGGGGGCGTCTTGGGATCCTCTTGGGCCGTCTTGAGGTCATCATGGAAGCCTCTGACGCCGTCTCGGGCTGACGGGAGACAGAGCATGTGGCAACACGGAACAGATGCAGAACATGCGAGGCTTTTGTTGACATTTGCGGGCCCTCCTGGAGGTCCTTGTGCATCCCTCTTGGGCCGTCTTGGAGGCTTCTTGAGCTGTATTGAGGCCATCTTGGGCCATGTTGGGTCTCTCTTGGGCTCTCTTGGAGGCATCCTGGGCCGTGTGGGAAGCTATCTTTGGCATCTTGTGCGCTTTGGAGAGCACCAGGGGAAGGGTCGCGGCGCTCAGGGAGCCTCGGGGTGTGGGGGTGCTGCATGTCTCTGCGTGCTCCAGTCGGATCGAGGTATAAGATCGAAGTCGGTTCGGGGAGGGTACCCTCCTGTTCTTGACGTGTTTGTTGGATTTTCTGGTGCATCCTGGGGCGGGTGCCCTTGGATGCTCTGTGTGTTTTGGCCGGCCGAGGTTCTCATGTTCTTGAAGGGTGTTCTTTTGTCCTCGGTCCGGCTGTACTAGAGTTGGGGGGCGCCGTAAACGAGTTCAGAAAATTTGCCAGAGTCCTTGGATGTTAATTCGCCTCCACGTGCCAGGGGTGCACGGTGGCGGATGGCGTTGTCTTCGAGCAACTTGCTTGTACGTGTAGTAGGTGATGTGAAGGCTCTCTTCGCAGCTGCTTTCGCCGAAGATCCGAATTGGGATGGTAGCTGCGAAGCTCTAAAAAGCTACTTCGACGTGCAAGATCGGATCGGAGAGAATGCCTTGAAGGAGTATCCTTGGGCGAGCCGGTCCAGCAGGAGCGGGTCCAGCGGGCAAGCGGCCTTTGCCACCAGCAAGGCCGATACTCGGAATCGTCTTCACGTGCGAGCGCTGAGAGGTACGCCGTGGTGGTATGTGAAGGGAGGGAATGCGTCATCGCCTTCGTGGCTATTTGCCGGTAGTATGGACAGCGCAGAGCCACCTTCTCAGACGTCCTGGCAGAGAAAGCCGACCCCCTGGTCCGAGCCCGCGAGGCTCTATCCCCACCTCTGGTGCACGCTCGCCGAGAAAGCACCGCCCCTGAACTGGTCCACGCCCGCGGAAGAGCTGGAGGGTGGTGCCGATGCAAAACTGGTAGCTTACCTGGACCGCTTCCGGAACATCGATCATGCGCTGGATGTCTCTGTAGATCAGGCCTGCGAGAACGTGCTATCAAAGACGCCTCGGGCGAGCCACTGCCGCCTAAACTGGATCCGCATAGCAAATGTGAGATTTGCCCGATCAGCAGGAAGATAACACATGCAAATATTCAGTATAATACCAGTGCTTTATATTACGAACAATGTCCAAATCATAGAAATGCATTTGCACATACACATGTCACCGCTCATTGCTCATTTACATCGCAGCATGTATGAAGTGTATGACGTGAATATACATGCACATATATATAGATATGTACCACGGGGGCGCGCTAGGTCAGAAAGAGGGGGGAGAGCTTAGCTTTGGCCATGTGCTTCCTGTTCCGTGCCACTTGTCGACTGCTCCGTGCCACTTGTTTCTCTCCCGTCCCAGACCCGTAATGCGGCCTTCAGGCAACCAAGAAACCCACGATGGGACAATAGCGCACCGATGCAGCCCCATGGGCCTTGAAAGCGGTCCCAGCACCCCCCCCCCCCGCCCAACCCAATGCAGACCCAAGAGCCTTTACAGTGGTCCTAGCCCCCCTCCCCTCCCCGCCCAAGACGGCTTTAAGAGGGATCTAACGCGGCGCCTTCGGAGACTCGAGCGCAATCTTATACATGTGTTGCACTTGTTTGTTGGCTCAACGCGGGGATTATGAACGCATGTTTTCTAACGCTTTCTTTTTGGTCTGCGTGCAAGTTGGGGTTGGCAAGCCTGACTGCGAGCGGCTGAGTGCCAGTCAGCCATAGTTGAGCCCGCCTGCGCTTAAATCCCCAAAAATCCCTATACGACCAACCTTCGGGTGACCAGGAGATTGGGTGGTGGCGGGGAAAGAACCAACTGCTGGCAAATGCGATGGTTGTGATGATGACGATGCTGGTGACACGCCCTCGAGTTAGGGACGACGCGTGATGGCGATGTTGCTCTTCGATGTACTGTCACTATCGCCCCAGCTATCGATCTCACTCGATCGATCCCACTATCGACCTCACGGCCAGTCTTAGCATCAATGGGTTCAGCGATCTCACCATCGATTTACCGATGGATCTCACTATCAATCTCACTCTCGATCTCGCAACCAATGTCACAATCAACGCCGCTGTCGACTTCACTTTGATCTCAGTGTCCACCCCATTCTAGCGATCTCATAATCGATATCACTAGCAACTTCATTATCGATACCACATTCAGGACACCCCCAGCCACGGCCCTCCACCGCCGACGGAACACCGACGGGACACCAACGGGACATCAACGGGACACCACACGACACCACGGCAGGACACCCTGGGCCACCGCGCGCCCACTGGGGGCGGATGGGGCGCCCGCTGCATCCGAATCGCCTGAGCGACGGCGGGTCATTCCTCTCGCGCGCCGACGCAGCTTCGCCTCGCCCGCACGCGCGATATGAGCACGAAACCGAAATCGGTTTTCCCGGTGGGGGGCTGTCCGTTCCACGGAGATTTCACCCCCCAAACTTCAGATGCCGCCCGCGTGCCGTGCCGTGCCGTACCCCGCGTGCCGTGCCGTGCCCCGCGTGCCGTGCCGTGCCCGTTTTCCAAACTGCGAGGTGCGTGCCTCCGGTGTGCCAGGCCGTGCCGTGCCCGTGCGCCGTGCCGCGCGCCGTGCTCCGAGTCGGGCACGAGCCGCCCGCGTGGCGTGGCGTGCCGTGCCCGCGCCCTGGAGTGCGAAGGACGTGCCGCTCGCGTTCCGTGCCCTGCCGTGCTCGCGTGGCGTGCCGTGCCCGTGCCTTCAGACTGCGGTACGATGTGCCGCCCGCGCGCCGCGCCGTGTCGGCGTGCCGCGCCGTGCCCGCGAGCCGTGCGCAGGGTGCTGTCGGGCAGAAGCGGCGCCCGCGTGGCGTGCGCGTGCCTCTGCCCGTGCCTCTGCCCGTGCCGTGCGCGTGCCCGCGGGCCGTGCCGTGCCCGGGCCTCGCCGGGCACGCGCCTTGCGGGGTGGGCTCGCCGGGCGCGTTCTCGTGCAGCGCGGTGCTGCTTCGGGTTGCTATGCCTGGGGCACTGAGCTACAACTCCGGCGCGCACGGGAGGTTCAGAGCCCAGGCGGGCAGGACGTGGGCATGGCAGGGGCCATGGGGAACAGGCAGAGCAGGACGTGTTTAAGAGTTTTGGGGCGCCGCGTTGAGTGTGATATCGCCCAATCCAGAGTCCAGGTCGGCCAGTACACGAAGAGGAGAGAGGAAAACTCAAAGATGAGAAGGAGGAGGTGGAGGGGAGGAAAAAACATCAACAGCGATGCAACTTAGGCCCCCCATGGCCCATGCCCAGTATGAAATTGTGGTCACCTCGATGTGATACCGTGATCTGCTCATGGTCGGAGGAAGAAGAGGAGGAAGAGGACGAGGAGGGGGAGCAGGAGGAGGGGCAGTGGGATGAGGACAGCTTTGTGTTCCCACTCGTGCTCCTGGCTATCTCGTTTACAGAAGTAGCCAGGATAGCGATCGACAACATTCCGCTGCGTGTTGGGAAGTAGCGCGGAGTTGCCGTAGCGTTGCCTTCTGGGGAGTCCTTGATCGTTCCGTGGAGCTTCTTGGAGGCCTCTCGAGGAACCCTTAAGTACTTTGGAGGGAGCCTCTTGGGGGCCAGACGGGGGGCATCGGGGTCGTCCTCGGAGGGGACGTGGGGCGGACGCCCAAATTGTATCCCCGTGGCCCGTTCGTGGGACCGTCTCTTTGGAGGCTTGCTCTGGGACTTGCTAGGGCCAACAGGGCCCTCCTGGGCCTCTTCAGGGCTTCTCTGTCGGGTACGTTGTGGTGCTCTCGTGGGGCAATATTGGGGCCCCTCGGGCCCATGTGAAATCCAACAGGACCCACAAGACATCAATCGTCAGAGCCCTGTTTCGACTTTGCGTGACCCGGCCTCCGGCCGGCCTCTTTGTTGGAGGCTCCGGTGCCTCCGTATGGCCGTTCTGGCTCTAGCTCGGGGTCTCTCGGAGTCCTCCTGACGGTTTCCTCCTGTCGGACGGGGCTAGGACGAGGATCAATCCGTTCCAGATCGTTCCGCAACGCTCTGAGAGCGTTCTGGAATGCTTGGGAATGGTCGCGGCGCCCGATGCATCCAGAGCTGCCGGATTTCAGAGATTCCTGATTTGTCCTCACCCGATTTGATCCATGTTCTGGCTGCGTCTTATTTTGCCAAGTGGGGCCCTACAGGGCGCTCCAGAGAGGGTCTCGCCCTCGAGGGGCCGAGGGGTTGACACCTCGCGCTCGGCGGGAGGCGGGCGGCCCACGGAGGTGGGCGGCAGCAGAGCGATGGCGGGTCCACGGGCGGAAGTTTGGCACAAGCCAGCGGCAGCAACGCATGCCCCTCAGTCTAGGGTTCCCAGATTCCAGTGGGAGATCGACTACAGAGTTGACTTGCCACGAGTCGAACTTTCTGTCGAATCTCCAAAACATGATGGACCCACGAACCCGGAAAGGGATATAGAACCGCATGCATGGAAACGTTTTCACGACACCGTACTGGGCGACGGGCACTTCCACGAGACACCCCGCGAAACAGTCCACGAGACACCCCACGATACATTCCACGACGACAGGCAACCACTCAACCAAGGCGGTGTGGTCGTGCTGGGGAGTGGTCGTGCTGGGGTGTGGTCGTGCTGGGGGGTGGTCGTGCTGGGGGGTGGTCGTGCTGGAGGGGTAGTCGTGCTGGAGGGGTAGTCGTGCTGGGGGGTGGTCGTGCTGGGGCGTGGTCGTGCTGGGGCGTGGTCGTGCTGGGGCGGAGTCGTGCTGGGGCGGGGTCGTGCTGGGGCGGGGTCGTGCTGGGGTGTGGTCGTGCTGAGGTGAGGTCGTGCTGGGGTGTGGTCGTGCTGGGTGATGGTCTTGCTGGGGTGGGGTCGTGCTGGGGTGGGGTAGTGCTGGGGTGTGGTCGTGCTGGGGTTTGGTCATGCTGGGGTGGGGTCGTGTTGGGGTGTGGTCGTGCTGGGGTGTGGTCGTGCTGGGGTGTGGAGAAGGCAAATCTCTGGTGCGCCCAGATCCTTCAAGTTCTACAAAACAAGCGATTCGTTCCAGACATCCTCGGTAACTCTGCGGAGCAAGCGCTTCGCTCGAGACATCCTCATCACGCGAAAGAGTGGCCCGCACCCTGTGATTTATCGATAAGGATTTCAAGAACAAGCGTTTCGCCTGAGACATACTCAAATTTTAATCCGCCGGCCCACCTCGACCTCGATATTCATCAGGGAAAGAATCCGCCGGCCCACCTCAGTTGAGGCACTGAGGACAGGTTTGCCACACTAAAAGAGAACCCTGGGCCCACGCCCTTTCCGGGAAAATAGATTGAAGCTTCGCAGATCCAGGAACCCTCTACATGTTTTAGATTCTACGCGGATTTCAATTTTCAATACATCAATGTTGCAGTCGATTCTCTGTTCGGAAGATGGTGTCCGAGTACATGGGGCCGGGGGATCACGCTGCATCGCCGATGCATCGGCGACGCGGCTCGATGTGGAGCCAGTTTTTCTTCACGCTGACGACGCGGGTGCATCGCCGACGTCGCCGTTGCATCGCTGGTGCATCGCTGATGCATCAGCGATGCATCGGAGATGCGGAGCGATCCTCCGACCCCATGTGCTCCGACCCGATATCTGGGAGGCCTCTTCTCAAGGAGATTCCAAATTCGGCTTGCTGCCCCTAGCGATCCTTTCGATCCTTTTTCTGTCTTAGGCTACTCAACATCGTGCCTCGAAGCCGTGGTGGCGGATTCGAACATCATTCGCTCGAGCGTGGCGACGATGTGCAATGGAATGAAAAGCAGGAGCGGTTCGTGGTAAAGCGCGATGGTCTTGTTGTAGGCATCCTGGCCAGGGGTGACGAGACTGTCTGCAAAGGTTGCTTGGATGGCGAGTTGGGGCAGCTCTTAGCCGACGCAGCCTCTGCCGCCAATGCCGTCAGGGGCCTCGAAATGGCGTGGCCTAAGGAAGTAGTAGAAATGGCCGTGAAGCTTGGATACGTGATTGGCGTGCGAAGCTTGGAGACCCGTCAAGAGTGTGAACGAGTGGTACTGCCAGTGCCATTCGTCCGGATGTTCCCTCGATTCGTATACATGGTTGAGCAGTATGTTTTCCATATGGAGCAGGTTCTGCTTGAGATCAACACGTGCCTGGGGGAGACTCACAACACTAACAAGCTGAATACTGCAAAACATGCATTCGACAACGAGGGATTCGATATGGGAAAATGTATCACTGAGGAGAACAAACTCTCGATGGTGACAGAGCGGGCAAAGTATGCCACGCGCTTGGTCCGGAAATTCCTCATCCGTCTCGGGGCTGAGGACCCTCGCAGAAGGAAATTCAAGCCAGGGGTGTTGCCACTGTCTGGCGCCGAGCTTCAATTGATCCATCAAAACAACTTTCACTTCGCTCCCATGGCAAACCTGATGGCCATGGACTATGTCGCTGCCTTTGGAGTCGGGGTGATTGAGGAAGTCCGACTTCGCAATGATTTCATCAGGAATGGGGATATTCTGAAGTACCCAGGGAGGGTCGCCGGAGGAGAGCCTTGGATGTTCCAGCTGGAGGGTTACTTCTGGCAGTACGCACAAGAATTACGGCCTGAGCTTCTGGCGATCGCGAATCCACTCAACCGCATCTCGAGCAGCGGACCACCCGAGCGCTTGAGGCCACCAGTGGAGTATACCGAAGCCTTGGTCTTCACCGCCCAGCTCGCCCGCAACGGCTTCTGCACACCTAACACGGGCCTCCTGAAGGTCGATGCCGTATTCCAGCGCTCTAAGCAGTCATGGTCGGACCGTATATCTTCGGAGCGGTGCTTCATCGGAAGAGTACGACCCGGCGACTTCTTCATCCAGATCATGCGATGCAAGGGCACCGCTGGTGGCCAGGAGGGCGATTTCGGCAACTATGTGGATTGGCGCATCCGCTTCCAGGGCGTGCTCTTGAAGGGCGACCTTTTGACTCCGGAGTTTAGCGGCGTCGGCGGTAACGTTTTCACGAGCGGCAGTATGCTGACCGCTGCCACAATGTCTGGCGCTGCCGTAGCCGCAGGCATCACCAGCGGTGCCGCCGTAGAGGCGCTCGCCCCGATGGTGCTGAACTCCTCGATCGCTGGGACCGTGCTCTTCGCTGGTGCTTCGGTTGCGCCCATGGTTGGCATCGGGGCCGCGGCGTTCCTGACCACGGGCGGAGGCTTCAAGGAGGTCTGCCAGGCCCTCCTGGCGCAGCTGTCGAGCCACGGCGTCGTTTCCAGCAGCGGTTGGGCGGAGCCGCCGCACCTGGGCCTCAACATCAACGTTGCCCTCGTGACGTGGGGCGCCGTGGTCTACAGGCTGAAGTCGGTCAAGATCAAGACCGGCGACGGAATCTATCAGGATCGCGTCAAGTCGCAGAAGTTTACCTCGCTGCACTTCGAGAGCTGGAACCGCGCAGAGTTATCCCCCGTGGTTCCGTTCGTCGGCTCGGTGGAGCTCTATGGCAAGGTCGAGCTGGACTGGGATCTCACGCCGTGGGTCGAGCGGATGATCAATAGACGAAAATTCCTCGAGAACAAACAGCGCCAGGAGAAGTGCGTCTCATGCTTGAAGGCTGGCAAAGCATTTTGCGACTGGAGGAAGCCGCTGGAATCCATCTGGGACGAAACTTACGACGTGTGCGTGGATCACAGCAGTACCGAAGAGCAGACTTGCGAGCGTGACATCGGTATGGTCGACGACGTTGGGGATGTCGTCACAGCTGAGTATTTCTCGCCGAAGCTCGGCAGCGCGGCTTGCATGGAGATAGACTTTGTGCGGGCCAACCGCGAATTCCGCCTCAACGATCTGATGCGGCGCTTCTTTCGCCGCCATTAGATTTGCAAAACCACCCATAAGAGGCTGCTTCATTTGCTCTTCGCAATCCTTCTGCTTGTCCTCATCCTCCTGCTCCTTCTGCTTCCTGTGTCTTCTCGGCCCCACGTTGCCCCGCATCCGTCTCTTCCGCATCCCCCTTCTGCCCATGATCTTTCTCCTGGTCGTGATCTTCTTTTGTTTCTCCCATCCTACACAATCTCCCGTCTCCCGATTCCCCCCATCCTCCACTTCTGCCCCCGCCCGTTTCGGGCCCAGGGGCCGCCAGAAATCGATCTGGTGCGAACACTCGCCAGGATGGACTCTGGGAGTGGTGTGGGAACCCATTCGGAGCAGGCTCTGAGGGAAACAGGAGTTTCGAGGATTGGAGGCTCAAGGATCGACCTCCTCCAGCTCGACGTCTTCTGCCTCTTGAAGCCTCCAAGAGGGTCCTCGTCGGCGGCCAGAAATTCGCAATCCCGTTCTGGTCAGGATTCTCCTGGAGGGGTCCAAGTATTGCTTTGGCATAGTTAGTTCGGACGTGTGCATGTTTTCCCTGGTGAGGACCATCGATGAGCATCTTGGACCATCCTGCGAGAGAATGCACGCGCGAAATAGAAACCTGCACGGGAAATGGACGTCCGAGCGATGGCGAATCAGCTCTGACTGAAGATCCCCCCCTCGGAGTTTGTAAATTCGAGGCTCGAGGTTTCGAGGTTCCCGTAAGTCCCCCCTCCAGCTGCGCGAAGGTCATCGAGCCTCAAGTCTCGCGGCTCCGGTCGGGAGCGAGGCGCCTTTCTCCCAGGCTGCCTCGCGAGGGCGCGCAGATAGCCGCGCGTCGCGCACTGCGGGGGCGCGATGCTCGGAGTGGCTCGGCGACGAGCTCAGGGGCGAAGCCGGAGGGGGCAGGCCTCCTCAGGAGGCGGCGGGGCTTCTCAGACGCCCTCCAGCTTCCCGCGGAGCCGCCTCGGCCGTCGGAGAAGGCGCGCAGGACTTCTCAGAGGGCGCGGGGGCTTCTGAGAAGCCCCCGCACCCTCTCTGAGAATTGAGCCCGGGCCGACCGTCCCAGCATTTCTGTAGACCCAGCACGACGGAACATCTCAGAACGTTGAAGGATTGCCTCGGAGCGTGCAGCCGATGTACCTAGAGATCAGGACAGCTCTCAGCCAGCTCCCACTCCTCCTGCCCGCCCGCTCCCACCGCCCCCCCGGGGCTCGCACCCGATGGAGGCTCGAGGCTCGAGGCTCGAGGAGGTGTCGAGGAACCGCCCCCTCTGGCCCGCCCCAGCGGCCCGCCCCCGAGAGCTCCGCCCCGGCCATCTTCCTCGCGGCCGCCCCCCGACCGAGAGGGCCGACGCTCCGAGCGAGAAGCTGGAGCGGGCGGCTTCTGGCGTTTTTTTGGAATCCAGGGGTCCCCGCCGGGCCTCGGGAGCGTCCAAAAGCGGCGCAGGACGAGATTCTGGGGGTAGGAAAGGGGTGTGGTGCCAATGCTGGATCTGGCGAGGTTGTCTATCGTAGATAACATCGTCATTGCCACGATTGGCACCACACCCCTTCTGCCACTCCCCCTTCCGACCTCCAGAGAGATACCGGTCCCGGGGAAGTGGGGCTCACGCATCGACAACAATTTGAGCAGCCGGATGTCTGGGGACGGCCCCGTCTTGGGGTCGCCTTCTTCTGACGGTCGTCTGCCGACGGTCGTTTTCTGACGGTCGATTTGTTTTTGGGGGACAGCACATGCCAGCCCAACCCCCAGCCAGGACCCCTACTCCCGACCTGGTGATCCTAGAGGTCCTGTATGGCGGTGACGGTGTTTCTGTTTGGGTTCCTGGGGTTCCTGGAGGCCCCGAAGCCGGGTCGGGAGTGGGGGTCCTGGCTGGGGCTTTGGGGCTTAGGGGGTCGGGCTGCAGCTCCTGGCGATCCTCGGGGAGCGCGTTCGCTTGTTGTCCACGGTCCCGATGCCCTGGCAGGGGCCCCGGAGGCTGTTTCCTGACGGTCCGGGTGTCTTGGCAGGGGCCCCAGAGGCCGAACGCAGCCAAATTCTGTTGAACCCAGAGACAATCAAACAAACAAACAATAACAAAACAACAAACAAACACAACAACAAACAAACAAACAAACAAACAAAACAAACAAACAGCAGCACTACGACAAAACACAGCACCACCAACCACAACAACAACAACAACAACAACAACAACAACACCAACCACAACAACCACAGCAACAACAACAACACCAACAACAACAACAACAACAACAACAACAACAACAATAACACCAGCAACAATCACAACAACAAAAACAACAACAGCAAAACAAACAAGCACAGAGGCGGCCGGGGTGCGTCGCCGTTCTCTCGGCCGCTCGAGGCTGTTTTTTTTCCGGGCCAGGGGGCCGTCGCAGACCAGCTCGGGATGAGGCGCCGTCCCCCTGGGAAGGGGCCGATTGGGCACTCCTCAGGGAGAGAGAGAGAGAGAGAGAGAGAGAGGAAGGGAGAGAGAGGAAGGGAGGGGGGAGGGAAAAGGGGAGGGAGGGGGAGAGAGGGAGGGAGGGGGGAGGACGAGGGGCACAGGGGGGACGGGTAGGGGCCGCGAATGGGGGAGGGACAGTCAGACAGACGGGGGCTGCGCATCCTTGACGCGCCCCAGGCCAGCCCTGCCAACTGTCAGCCCGCCGCAAAAACCAGCGACGCATGCTCAAGTCGATTCCCCCGATCCGATTCGCTCTGATTGCGCTGGCTTCCGATGCCGAGTCCATTCGGCTTCGGAGTCTCCGGTTGGTGGGGCCCTGCTTTCTCCATGGAGGCCTATTGGCCTATTGGCCTGCAGAGTTTTGCCGAACCGATTTCTCCCGGCTTGGCTGCCGAGTTCCGCTGATCCGATTCATGTCGATCGCCGACCCGACTTCTCGATTCGATCCTGGGCTGCTTTGGCCCTATCTCTCGCACAGAAGCCACTTGGAGCGCCAGATGCATGGGTGCTCGTGGCTTCCGCCGCGACCTCGAGCTTAGACATCCGACGCCTTGTGTTTCTGCTCCGTGCGGGGTCCCCAGGAGTCCCGGCCCTTTCTCCAGGACCTCGGAGGACGCGCTATGGGGGGCCATCAATGGGGGGGGCAGCGAGGGCTGCAGAAAAGGGGGCCCCTGGAGCCCTTAAGGGGGAACCCTTTAAGGACCCAGAAGGGGGCCCTTGGGGCCCGAAAAGGACGCCTTCCTCCGTGGCCGGGCCAATGGCGATGTAGGTAACAGCGATGTCGGTTTCGGTATTGTGGGAACGCGTGGCTCGCGCGTTCCTGCAATCTGCTGTGTCGTGCTCGCCATCCGCTCGCAGATAGGAGATGTGGGAAAGTGGGGTTCGTGATTTCCTGCTCCGAGTTTCTGAATCAGCGTCGGGGGGGGCGTCACCCCCGCCGACAGCCCCACATCGACCCCCGTCGCGGCGCGACGACGAGGCGAGGTTGACCCCCGTCGGGGGGTACCCCCCACGCTAGTGAAACCCAGAGTACACTTTGGTTCCCAACATCACCGCTCAGCAACATCGCCGTTGGCCCAGCCTCGGCTTTTCCCCCCCGCACTTATGTCGCCGCCCGCGCAGGGTAGTCCTCGCTTAACAGGACCGACTTCTCGTCCCCCCATTGGTCGCCCGCCCCCATTGATCGCCCCCCTTGATCGCCCCCCTCGTGACCCGGCCCAACAGGATTGGTCTCCCCCCTATCAATTAATCGCCGCCCCCCCATCCCAGACCCCCTCGGGCAATGAAAAAATCATGACGGAAGGTTTCAAGCTATTTTCATCCTCTGGGGGCCCTTACTGGCTTTCGGGACCGCCAGAAAACGACTCAGGATGAAAATCCGGTCCAGGGGAATGGGTTGAGACCTCCAGGGGTCGATTTAGTGAAAAATCAGGACGTCGGGGGTCTGGGATTCATTCGCGTCTAACAGGACAGGCTTCTCATCACCCGCCGCCGTCTCTGCAACGGGCCCCCCTCGGCCCGGCGCAGGAAGGCCCTTTTGGGAGGCCGACACGGCCCAAAAAGCCTGCCGTCGTGGTGTGTTTCGCGGCGAGAGGAGAGTTTTTGGCTTTCGGGCGGCCATTCGGGCGACCTCCTCCTCCTCCTCCTTCTCCCCCTCCTTCTCCCCCTCCTCCTCCTCCTCCTCGTCCTCCTCCTCCTCCTCCTCCTCCTCGGGCCTCCAGCGCCTGTGCTAGACGATCCAGGTGCCCCTGGAAGCGCCCCCTGCGAGGCGCAGCTGCTGGAAGGAGCTTCCCGAGGCTGCGATGCCCCCTCCCCCCCGACTTTGAGGAACCTTCTGGATCACGCAGTCACATAGGGGAATTGTTCCGAATATGTACGTATGGGGTTGGTCCGTGCACATAAGCCCAACATTCCGCTGCTGCGAGTGCAATAAGGCATCGATGCTCATGCTCCTCCTCAGGCCTTCTCCCCAACGTTCCTCCTCGATCCTCCTCCCTCCAGCCTCCTCCTCCTCCTCCTCCTCCTCCTCTTCCTCCTCCTCGATCCTCCTCCTCCTCCTCCTCGATCCTTCTCCCTCGCTCCTCCTCTTCCTCCTCCTCCTCCTCCTCCCTCGTTCCTCCTCCATCGTTCCTCCTCCCTCGTTCCTCCTTCCTCGATTTCGATCATCCTCCTCGATCCTCCTCGATCCTCCTCCCTCCCCACTCTTCCCTCGAGCCTTCTGGGGACCTTGGCCGGGGGGCTCGTCTTCCTTTTTGACAGTTTCGCTGTCCTCTCGGCGGTGGCGCAAGTGGCATGATTCCAGGTCCTTAGCGCCACCCGCCTGAGACAGCCAGGCGTGGTGGGGCCGCCGCTGGCCGCCGCCAGCGAAGACGGCCAGCCGCCGCAAGCGAAGACGTCGGCGGCGCCGCCGAGAGCGACGACGACGACGCGGACGAGGACGTCTGGCTCTCGGGCTTTCTCGTCGGCTCCCAGAGGTTGTCCAGCCTCGCGGTGTTTTCCAGCAGCTGCGCCTCGCCGAGAGCGTTCATGAGTACACCTCCTGTCAAGCCGTCGTCGAGTAGAGAGCCAGCCCCGCCGGGTTGCCGCCGCCGCCGTTGTCGTCGTCGTCGTCGTTGTCGTCGTCGTCCTCCTCGTCGTCGTCGTCCTCGTCCTGGTCTTCGTCCTCGTCCTCGTCCTCGTCGTCGTCGTCCTCGTCGTCGTCGTCGTAGTCGTCGTCGTCGTCGTCGTCGAGCAGAGAGCCAGCCCCGCCGGGCCGCCGGGGGCCCCCCCCCGCGCAGGCGACCGCCGGCCGCTGCCCTCTCGCCGGGAGGAGCCGCCAG